GGAATAACTGAAAACATTACATATATGTAATAATCAAAGTCATGATTCACAACCATCAAATGATATGTATATAATCATTCAATAGTTGCAAATCATGACTTGATTATTATCTTCTGCTAATTTCATTTTCAAAATTATATAAGGGGAGTTTAAAATTTTTTAAAGAGAAATTATACAAATGTTTTGTAATATATTTGTATTGACATGTTCATTTATTATTACTAATGTTTGTGCTTTATTATTTACCATTGTTCTTATGTGATACTTGGGCTGTAAGTTTAGATTGATCTTTTCAATAAAGCCTTATATAATAACACATTTGTACTGACATGTATACAGAAGGCCTGTAGGCTTCTACGTATTTAAAATTTTATGAAGTTTATTCACATTGGATTTTATTTGAAATTCTTCTATGTGTTCCCCCCCCCAATAGTTCTGAACACTCATCAGTGCTGACTGTGTACATTTGCTGATGTATGTTTATAATTACTAGTTTTTATGAAAAAATTTGATCTATAGTTCTATTTTTGTGTATTGTTTTTAAATAGGAATTTTGTACATGGATACATGTACTATTGGTGTTCAGTATATGGATTTTTGTCCATTGTTTATTGCAAAGATTTCGCCTAAGAGAATCCATATTGGTCTGTGGAGTTTCTGTGCACTGATTTTTGCATGGATTTGGCTTACAAGTAGTACATCTAAAGGTCTACCTTTTTTATTTATTGGTTTATATGCATAAGGTACCCGCATAGGTCTACATATTTCTGTGTACTGATTTTATGGGTATCTGGATAACGGTTACCTGTACAAGTCTGTTGGATTTTCCTGGTTACCTGTATGCCAAAACCCTGTTAGCAGGGCAGTGATTGCTTTAAAAGTACTTTATGCTATTATAATTTTATTATTTTAATATACTACTGTTTGACTATGTTATTTAAATTTTCATCGATAATGAAATCAAAACACTGCAAAGCAGTAAATACTTTCTGGAATTAACATTTCCAAGCATTTTTATCTAACTGCAGAAGATGAATAATAAATTCATAGTTACTATTAATCTTCTTTAGCACTTGTAACATAAATTCACAGCTGTTTTACAACTCACTATTATTAGTATCTTGATTTTACAGCTTAATAAATGCACAGCATGAAAAACTGCAGAAAATGCCAATTAAAAGAGTATAAAGAGAAAAAAAAAACTTTGGTGAACAATGAATACCGAATAAAAGAGCAAGCAGTAGAAATATCATTTTAATCCACTAACCCGATAATAACAAAGGTTAGGTCCACAGTTAATCTGAGAGCTATTAAAAACATGGAAATGAAAAACAACTCATTTTATAATCAAGAGAAAAACATCAATAACAATCCACTTTCTTTTGCAAGCAATATATTCTGAAGAATAAGCTCAATTGGTTACATCAATACTGTATCCCCTCCCTTTTTAGTAATTTTTTCATTGTTCTTATGTGATATTTGATTGTTCTTATGTGAACTCCCCTTATATAATTTTGAAGATTAAGAAAAGGTTGGATCTTAGCAGAGGCCACACCCTTGGCGCGAATGATTTTGGTTAGGACGCGTATCAATGTGTACATGAACAAAGTCAAGGGAGTATGCAATGCCAAGTTTGTGCAATTCTGTGATGTTTTTTTAAGTCAAAATAGGTTGATGTGTACATAAATACCGAAGTTGTGCAATTCTACTACTTTTATTTTCATGTTGGCGTTTTTGAGAAACGCGCGAAGCAGTGCGCACTTCCCAGTTTGTTGCCAAGTGTGTGGGCTCTCCTAGGATTTTACCAAAGCGAAAAATTATGTGAATAATTTAATTTCCAACGGAAGCAGTTAACAGTAAGAACATAAGAAATGGAAAATAGACATGGATAAACTACAGTTTGCTATCACAATATTACTTCTTAAAAATAAACCTAATTCCAATAAGAATACATAGTAACATTAACAATATTATATCTTAATTTCTACTTGCTTGTAACTAGAATATAGTCTGTTCTTATTGCTGTCTCTGCTACTTTCTGAAAGACCAGAGGTAAAATCTGCTGAATACTAGTAGTTCAGCCCCGAGTCCTGGCAAACGGCCTGGGCTGCGTGGGCATTTTCAAGATTTTCCTCATGTATAACATAAGACATGTGCCATTTTCTTTTCAAAAGTTATCCACTGGGCATCCCTCCCTTTCCGTGTAGTGGCTAATGGCAGAGCACAATAATAATAAATTTATAAATAATTAGAGAAGGTGAATGTGTAGCTGACTCATATCGTAGACTGGATGTCAGTTCATGTTTACTTCGTTATGATGGGTCTGTTCTTGTATTCGGCTAGCTTAAAATTTAACATTTACAAGGGAAAAGCTTGGCGTGATATTCATAGGTAGTTTAAAAGGGATTATGAAATTTTCAGAACAGTGCTATAAAAAGCTGGCAGGAAAACACACGAGAAAGACAGCATTAAAAAAAACATACTACTAATAACAGAAGAATAAACATTAGAAATGAAAAACTTTAAATGGTACTAAAGAACAATATTTATTTAAAAGACAACTTGAATAAAGTCATAGAATTCAAACTCGCCTATCATTAAGAACTTTTTATGCCTTACTTTTCAGTATTTCTATATGCTGGATTACTTTCAATAAAACTGTGCATTGTTGTCACACTCAAAAACAGCTCTCAAATGCTATAACATATCTGTCTGATGCTATCAGTGCTATCCCACACAAACTTTACCTTTTGGTCTTTTCCGTAGACAGTTTTCGGTACTTTCGTATTATTGCAACCACCTAGAAGTCGACAAACTGTGGCAACCATACATATAACAATTCTTCAGATAAACATATCGATAACCGTAAGTTTGAATAAGTGATATCATCATTTTTGTACATGCTGTTTTCGTTATATTAGAAGCTCTAAAGGGAAATTGCAATATTTTTGGTCTTCAGATGAATTTTGAAATATTCACTTGTGGGATTTGTCTGTAAATGAAGAAAGTTCTGTTTTTGCAGGAATATAAGATTTTCTGCAAAGGCGGGAATGTTCAGATTTGCATTTTATGATGATGTACTTTGGAAAACAACCGTTTTTGAAAATGCAACCTGAAAGTGTAATGAACACATCACTATTCAAAATGGTAATTGGTTCAAGGAATAGTCTGCTACTGACTACAAAAGTCAGATTTATTTACTACTGGAGTAAACAATGAGCGTTAAATTTTGCTTGGAAAATTTAGGAGTGGGTTGCAAGACTGTGGTAGACTGGGATAATTACATGTGGGAGATGCCATTTGTAATTAGTTTTATAATTGGGTGATACACATTGAACTAAAATTAAGGGTTTAATCCTAGTATCTGGTGCACACGGGATTTGGCTACTTTTGGCGACTTTATGATGAGCAGTAAAAAACGGGACATATACGATGAGTAGTAAACAGTCATTCAAAGAATGTATATTGTTATACATAGTATATACAATGTATATACACTAGTGTATAGTATATACTATGTATATAGTGTATAGTATATATATAGACGTTCTTTGGATCATGTTTGGTGTTGGCGATAAATTTTCAAAATCGCGTCAAGGCTGCACCGTATACTAGGATTTTACCATATTAAGATAACTACCTAATAACATGTACAGTATCAAATAAATAACTTTTTTCAGTTTGAAATTAACATTTCTCTTAAAATATCACCCAACTGCATCAAGTGGTTGCAATAATCCCAAAGTATCCAGTTTTGTTTTACACAGATGGTTGCAAAAGAATTTTTTCCATCTTTCCTTGATAAACAAAACTAATTTTTTTTTTTAAGACAGTGGCTGGTTAATATGTAACTTGGTTAATCCAGAATTGGCTGCATGAATGTATTCCAAAAAATGGAACTAAATTTAAATATCTTAATTCATTCAGAGGCTCTTGTAGGCTTACATTTTTTTATACTACTATGAAACACGTAGCTTGATTTCTCAAAAATGTGTATCATTTAATATATCACAAATAAACTTCCTAAACAAAATTCGGTAAAAGTTTACAATTGGGTGCCGCTTGTTTACTGGCAATTTTTTTTCAAGCCAAGATCAGCGCCAGGAAGGCACAATTTCAAGATCGCCGCTACACAAAACCAAAATAAGAAGTCACAGATTTGCACAAGATCTGTGTCCATGTACACATCGATCAGTTTTTACTTAAAAAAAATCCTAGAATTGCACAAACTAGGCATTGCGCACTGCTTTAATATGTCCATGTCACATCAATCTATTTTCATTTAAATAAAATCGGGAAGCTAAAACAAGTTTAAACTATCCTGGTAACCAGAAGTGAGGTTTTATTGCCAAAATTTAAAAAAAAATTGTCGCCAATCGAAGGGGCACCCAATTCTACACTAGAGCCCAAAATTCGGATAACAACTAAAATATTTTTAATTTAATAACTGGGAAAATGGTGTTAACATTATTTACATGTGCAGAAATATTGAACACTTTTTTGAGTATAATTATACCCACCTTTCATCCCCAAAAATTATTTTACTATGATTTAATGCAAGAAAAACTCATGAAATAAGATCTTTTGAAGATTTATACAATCATAATATTTTGTAATAAATAATTTAAAAATAAAAACACTTTGTTTACTCAAATATGATGTAATATAAATTATGTGTTCCCCTAATGAAGAATCACACCACTGCACTTATAAAATTGCACAAACTGGTATCCATGTGCATCGACCATTTCCACTATAATATATATATTAAAATATATATATAAAATATATATATATATATATATTAAAAATGTATATATACGTATATTAAATATATATATATATATATATATATTAAAAATCTACAATAAATGGGACACAAAACACTTTCAATTAGTGAATTTTACATTACTTTGAAATGTAAAAAATCTTTTTCTTTCTTTTTTTTTACTGCCCAAAAATAAGCAAAAACGGTACTTAACGTATTATACCGTCGACTGGCGAAATAGAGCGATTTAACGCCAATAATGGATGATTGCCTCCTCTAGCATTTCCCAGTCAACATGGAGACTGGTAACCGTTGCCGAAATTTCCGCCAGCAGTCGACGAAATAATACATAAGTACAACAGAAATTAATAAAAGTCTGCATTAAATAGAAAATGAAATTTCCTTCAATTTTCAACCATGTGCTTGAATTTTGATGTTAATGAAATTATTCAATTAAAGGCAGGTAAATTCCATTTTCACGTTCCATATTAAAAAAAGAAATCAGCATTGCTAGATTCAAACCATTTTTATGATTTTTCGTTACTTACCAAGGACACTTTTTTCGGCATATATTAAAAATGTTTTTAAACTGAGACTGGAAAGAAAGTTTAATAAATAATTCCTTCTTCTATTTTCGTTTATTTACCAAATCTTGCAACAGTTTTGCTGCTATGTTATTTTCTACAAATTCCTTCCATTCATGGCTTGAAAATATATCTTCTGCATGCTTATTGGTAAATTCTAATACACTATGGTACAAATCATCATCTGAATGCAAACAGGCTATCTGAAGGACATTGCTTACAGTAGTGGTATTAAGATATCTCGATTTCAGATAGCAGGAACACTTTTTCTTCAGTGCATGTAAATCGTATTTATCGGCTGCAGCATACAGCTCCTCAACAGTTTTGCACAGTCTACTGTCCAAGGAACCAGAATACATGTATAAAAGTAGGTCATCCATTATATCAGGATTGATGTCTGAAATTTCAACAATGTTCTTGTTCGCCTCGCTCATATTGGTCAAGAACATTCTAGAAAACACCGGAGATCGAGCGCTTAGAATAAATTTGTGTGCCGGGAATGTTTTCGAACCGGTAACTATATTTACGTCCGATAACGTTCCACTTCTGTAAAGGTTTCGAAAGTCATTTTTGAAAGAATGGCAATTAATAGAGGATACAAATGCGAAAGATGACTTCACGATCTCCGAAGAATGACTGCCGTTCGAAAATTTAAATTCACAATCGAGTAATAACATGTCGCCTTTTGGTTTTGGAGAAATTCTTCGGAAAAACTGTGCACATTTCCACTTTTTCTTTCTTTCGAATGTATACACTTTCTCAAAAGAAGGCCCGTCGAAGGATATTTTGCTTTTTACGAAAATTCGTTGGGATTGAGTATCATACAGCTTGCAAAGGAAAATATCAAAAAATCTACCATCTATGCCCTCTTTGCGCATGTGAAACTTTAAATTCCACCGGCAAGACTCCAGAATAGTGACAGAAAATACATGACTATATAGAACACTATTTATAGGTAATCTGGAAAAGTTTTGAATTGGCCATTCGAATGATATTTTTTCCATGATAATGCGGGTTTTTGCTGTCTAGTCTACATACGGTGTACACTGCAGACTCGGGAATCCGTACTTGATCTTAGCCAAGTGCAGATTCGCTAAAATTTCAGGTTTACTGCAGTCTAGTTTTCCAGTGTAAATATATTCCAACATAGCCTCCAGGACATCTGCATTCACATCCAGAATTTGTTCGCAAGTTTCTTTAGCATGCAGCGTTTCTAGAAGTTTAGGCCATCGTACTGATAAAATAGCTTTATGCACTTTGAATGTCGAATCACCAGTACGTAACACGACGTCCGCAAACAACTCATTTTTGTACGAAAGTTCAGGCAGTTCTTTATTTGAGTCACCCACAGGCTGAAAAGTGCATGTTAGAATCAGAATATCGTGTCCCAGTGAACGATAATGACGAATTCTTTTAAATGCACAAAGAAATCCATGACCATTAGAATTATCAACCTCCATCTTGTTAGGAATGTTGCGGTATATCATTCCGTTGGAGTCTAGTATTTGAGCACTACATTTCATAGTACATACTTCCGAAATATTATCATCTCTGGTGACATAAACGCATATATCAGTACGTTCATTATAATTCTGAGCAAATATTTCAAGATGCAATTTCATGCCGGGCAATGAATTCAAAACAAAATCTGGACTGCGTAGACTTTTCCCTCTTGAGTCATGGTATATATTACTAAAGTCTTCAATAAACCAGGTGAAAGTAAATTCTCCTTCCTGCTCCATTAAATACAGCGAGTTCCGTTCTAATGATTATATATTCTAATGAAATCCATGCTTCTAAATAACACGGTTATCAGTTTTGCTTTTAGGTTAAAAATGAACAAAGCCTTTATTCTTCGCTTACTACTGATGGCGTTAATAACGAATACACTCAAATGATTAATTGCGTTATTGCTGCCGTTAACTGCGCCAAAATTGGCCACCTTGTATTTCGTAAACTGAACAAGCCTACTTGTTGGAGAAATGTGTTGTCAGATCCTGCGGTCTTTCGCAAGTTTGCTACTTTTCACTAACTTCTGCGACTAAAATTCATAGCTATGGATTTTGAAAGTTTTTGCTACTCTATAATTTCCTTGGGCTATTTTTTTGTCAGCTTTTAAATTTTTTAATACATCGTAAAATGCTTACATGATAAAATAATGTGTTTACTAAAATTAATTTATAATAAATAAATAAATTAATAATTTATTTTGGCTTAAATAGAATTTGGCATCTGGCACTCGTGAGATCACAGAGCAGGTGTTAATAGTTTTCAGCGCCAATCGCTAGAAAGCTTATTTCACATGTTTGATTGATTGTTTTGTTTAATATTTGCCAATGACAAGTGCAGATGTAGAAAGGGTAAATTGAAAATTCACTTTGAGAAACCAAACATCGAAACAGAATGTGTTTGGAACTCCTAGATTCCATACTTCAAATGAAGATGTCATTGGAAGAAAATAAAAATCTGCTGTGTGTACTTCGTACCATCACCATCAAAGCTCATATATAAAAAGAAAGAAATGAGTATTACTCACCAAGAAAATGAACAGAGTGGTGAAAAGCTATTAAATTAAATTTTCTTTTAAATAACTGTAAAATAAAAAATGCGCATTTTTATGATTCCCCCCTTTTAAGCATTAGTCAATTTATCAGGTATGTTATGATAACATGTTCTGTCCTGTATTTTATTTTAAGTACTAGTCGACTTATTTTAAAATGAAGAAGCATTTTATCAGAATTAATTATCTTCATTAGAGCAGAAATTTATAAGCTCTATAAAACAGTTACTTTCACAGATCAAAATTATCTAGAATCAGGTGTCTTAGAGCTTATTTACTGTGTTTGTTCTATAACATATTTTATTTCAAATGTTATATTATTTTCAAAATGAAATATTGATGATCAAAATGAAATATTGAATAAAATGAAATATTGATGAAAAATGATCAAAACTATCATTGATTTAGAACTCGTATATACCGTCTAAACAAAACAGTTAAAACTTTAGGAATTAAGACATCAGTGTCTGTTCATAATTGGAATAAGGATAAAAGTTTACAATTGGGTGCCCCTTGTTTATTGGCGATTTATTCTTTTTTGACGCCAAGATCGGCGCCAGGAAGACGCAATTTCAAGATGGCCGCTACACAAAACCAAAATAAGAAGTCGAAGAATTGCATAAGATATGTGTCCATGTACACATCGATCTGTTTTTACTTAAAAAAACATCCTAGAATTGCACAAACTAGGCATTGCGCACTGCCTTAAATATGTCCATGTACACATCAATCTATTTTCATTTAAATAAAATCGGGAAGCTAAAACAAAGTTAAAACTATCGTGGTAACCAGAAATGAGGTTTCATCGCCAAAATTTTTTAAAAAATGTTGCCGATCGAAGGGGCACCCAATTCTACACTGAAGCCGGAATGAGTAGCTCATTGTATCTATAACATTCCAAGATATCATTCTTTGCACTTTTTTCCTTATTGAAATTCTGTAAAAAAAATCAATATTCAGGGAGACAGACACTGTTATTTATTTATTTAGCATGTATGTCAATAATTTTTCTCTTTTCCATGTTTAAAAATTCTAGGGCGATAGAACTAGTAAAAATAGGGAAGATTACACACACACACACACACACACACTCATATTATATATGTGGTATATACACACACATATTTTATATGTGGACATATGTGGTATCCGTTAGTTCAACACAGCCACCAGAGGACATCACGTGTACGCCGACAGCGAGAGCGAGGACATAGATGTTGATTCCACGCGAAGATGGTAACTAAAGAACTGTATATGAAAGCGGGCGCGAGTAGACGCCGATCAGCTATTTAAAAATACTTAAAAGTGATGCAGAACTGTATTTGTATCTAGCGATCGCGAAAACGGGTAACGGTACTGTTATTTAGTTCAAATCTGTAGCTTTTCGATTATTCATTAAATGTCTGTGGTATAGAAGTGTTATTTAACTTAAGGATATCATCTTCAACTCCCCGCAGAAAATCTGGGGGCTCGGCCGGGATCCGACCAAGAAACAAGCAAGGTAAAGTAGTATTTTATACCAATTAACTATAACCATCACGAGTGTATTAAATAATATGAGAAAACAAGACTTAAAAAAATAATCGCAGGAGAATTAGGCCTAACACTGCCGGCTACTACAACTACTAAGAACATATAGTGAATTTGAGTTTCAGAGAGCAGCGCCTCCTTTTACTCTGTATCACTCGAAGAACATCAGTAAAACAATAAGACGAAAGTGGTACAGGTGGCCGCCATCAGTCGACGAAAAAGGTGAGTTTCTGGTCGAAGGTCCAAATCAGTGAACTGAAGAATCTAGTATGAGTAAAAAATGTTAAGGATGGAGAATGTCAGATGGATATTTGTGCTTTTCTCTGGGAAATGGAGAACATCTAAGAGAGTTGATACAGTTGTTGAAGCGAAAGTAATAGAAATCAAAACTATCATTGAGAATGCTAGTATTTATAAAACTAATCCTAAATTTATTCGCGGAATTATTAAATCTTTTGCAGAGAATCAAAAGAACAAAGAGCAGTCAAAATTAGAATGTGAAAATTTAAGTTAGCTCAGCTTAAGAAGGAAATTGAGCTCCAAAAACTGAAACCAATTGGCTGGCGAGAATGCCGATCGAGTTGTGTTTACAGATTTTGAACCAGCATCGCGAAGTTTAGAAAATATCATTAAAAGCGTTAAAACACTAACTATAGCTGTACGTCAGGAGACCGGAAGCGGATCGCGGATTATGATAAAATAAAAGCACTAATCTTGAAAGAATTTCAGCCGACACCGCGTGAATGTTTGAATAATTTTTAAAATGCTCAGAGACATTCATCTGAATCGCATGTTCAGTTCGCGTCAGGGGCATAGCTAGTGGGGGGGGGGGCAAGGGAGGATATCTGTCTCCGGGCGCAGAATCCAAAGGGCACCAAACTGATGTTACGACATTTTAGAATTAAATGTTTTTCATCCTTGGCAAGCAGTAGAGGGCGCGAAATCTTCAGTTGTCCCTGGGCGCTGAAAACCCTAGCTACGACTCTGGTTCGCGTCTCGACTAAGTGCAACTTTCGATTATTATTGTAAGTTAAGAGTAGATGACTTTAAGAAATTGTGTGATCCTGTTGTATCTGATAAGTTGTATGAAATGCTTGATTCTAAAACAGAGAAACATATTAGTGTTCGGGAGGGCCAAAGTTGGTTCCCACCTAATCAATTGGGAAGAGGATGTGATTTATTTTATTCATCCAGGGGTAAGTCTTTAGTTGATACCAGTAACACGCAAATCGAAACTCCAGAAAATAAAAAGCTTAATTTTCCCAAAAACAATCTTAAAAAATTGCTGACAGAAAAATTTCAAGGATTCAGGGTATAGGCTGTAAATCGGAATAGTGGTAAAACAGAACATATTTCCTATGTATGCGGGAGTAAGGGTGAATTGTTTCATTTTGCGAGAAATTGCCCCAAACGTTTCGAAAAGGAAGAAAATTTGCCTCAAAAAAAGGTATCTGGGTTAAAGATTGAGTCGGATAATGCAGCTAGAAGAAAGTTAGAATTTATTGAATTGTTGATTGATGGTAAGAAAATAAAATGTTTAATAGATTCTGGGAGTGAACTGATAGTTGTAAAGAAATCTCTTTTTGCCGATAAAATACCATCTGGATTAATAGAAATCAATTCTTTTGGTCAAGTGGTTGAAGCAGAAACGGCTAATTTTTTTTTTTTTTTTTTTATTCGAAAGCGAAAAACAAATTGAACTAGAGGCAGCGATGGTTTATGAGCTGATAACAGACTGTATTTTGCCCCCCTCCTCCATGTTTAGCTGACATCTGCTGTGATCGGGTGATGATTACGCAATATGAAAATAATTCCGTCTCTTCAGAAAGGAATTTTTTGTCTTTTATTTCTGCTGACAGCGAAATAGATTTATGCACATAAAGGATAAAGGATTACGAAATACTGTTTCCACTCTTATTAAAGAGTATAAACCACTAGACAAACCGAGCAGTACAGACTTAAAAATGAAAATTAAATTAAAAAATGAAATTCCAGTTTCTCAGCTTTCGAGGAGAATTTTTTTTTTGCTGACTAAATAAAGGATGGGATTATAAAGCCATCTTGCTCAAAATATGCTTCGCCAAAGAACAAAATGGGGTAAGACACGAATTTGTGTTGACTTCCGGCAATTAAATAAAAAAATAGTTGAGGATTCTTTTCCCATAGCACAAGTAGAAGAGGTTTTAGATCATTTGGGTGAAGCAAAGGTTTTTTTCGACGTTAGACTTAAAAAATGTTTTTTTTTTTTTTTTTTTTTTTTTTTTTTTCATGTTCCGGTGGAGGAAAACTGCACTAAATATTTAGCATTCATTACACATGCAGGTCTGTACGAATTCCTAAAAGCACCTTTTGGTTTGTGCACGTCACCTAGTGTGTTCAAAAGATTTATTTATAATGTGTTTAGATATTTAATTCGGGAAAACACTGTTGTTACTTACATGGACGATTTTATTATTCCAGCGCGAAATGAGAAAGAAGGTTTCGAAAAGTTAAAACGCGTTTTAGAAGTAGCCAAAGAATACGATTTGCAGATCAATTTTAAGAAATGCCAATTTTTGAAAAGAAAAATAGAATTTCTCGGGTATATAATTGAGGATGGTACAAATTGCCCATCATCTGAAAAAACCAGGGCTGTTAAAAATTTCCCGGAGC